TGAGCTATTTCTGGCAACCTGAGAGAATGACGCCGCAAAATACATGCAACTTGAGTTTGAAAACCTGCCACTTTGCTGGTAACATCATTCAGGGTGAGAAACGGCTACTTCACAAGCAGTCTGACTCGTGTATTATCCTTTGCCTTTTTGTTTGTTTGCTGGTATATCTGCTCTGGTTGGTTTTCTATCCTTTATAATCACTGCCAGTCTATCTTATGTAGTTAATACAGATGTGGTCTCCTCACCTCAAAAAAGATATTTTGGCCTTGGAAAGGGTTCAGAAAAGGGTAACTAAAATGATCAGGGGTTTGGAACGGGTCCCATATGAGGAGAGGCTAAAGAGACTGGGACTTTTCAGTTTAGAAAAGAGGAGACTGAGGGGGGATATGATAGAGGTCTATAAAGTCATGAGTGGTGTGGAGAGGGCTGATAAAGAAAAGTTATTTATTAGTTCCCATAATAGAAGAACTAGAGGACACCAAATGAAATTAACGGGCAGCAGGTTTAAAACTAATAAAAGGAAGTTCTTCTTCACACAGTGTGTTGTCAACCTGTGGAACTCCTTGCCAGAGGAGGCGGTGAAGGCTAGGACTATAATAGAATTTAAAGAGAAGCTGGATAAATTCATGGAGGTTAGGTCCATAAAAGGCTATTAGCCAGGGGATAAAATGGTGTCCTTGGCCTCTGTTTGTCAGAGGCTGGAGAGGGATGGCAGGAGACAAATCGCTTGATCATTGTCTTCGGTCAACCCTCTTTGGGGTACCTGGTGCTGGCCACTGTCGGTAGACAGGATACTGGGCTAGACGGACCTTTGGTCTGACCCAGTACGGCCGTTTTTATGTTCTTATGTAATACGGGAGGCCTTTGCTTTACGACGGCCTGATTTATGACCCTCCTCACTTACGACCTTTTCCATAAGTGCAGAAGGGGCCGAAATCCCCCGACTTACATCCTCCGCCCCGAATTTACGACGGCATACGACTCCTGTTGTAAATGTGAACTTGAGTTACGATGCTTCTGACTTGAGACACTATTCCCAGAGCTTAAGCCCCTGGTTTCAGTTAAACTAGTTGGTAGTTTAACTTAAACCAGGGTGCCTTGAAGTGATGTGTCTGGAGGGAAAAGTCATAGCGGCTGTGTCTAGACTGCATCCCTTTTCCATAAAAGGGATGCAAATTAGACACATCGCAATTGCAAATGAAGTGGGGATTTAAATCCTCCCCGCTTAATTTGCATAAACATGGCTGCCGCTTTTTTCTGGCTCGGAGCTTTGCCAGAAAAAAGAGTCAGTCTAGACGTGGATCTTTCTGAAAATAAAGCCTTTTCTGAAAGATCCCTTATTCCTCTTAAAATAAGGAATAAGGGATCTTTCAGAAAAGGCTTTATTTTCCAAAAGATCCCCGTCTAGACTGGCGCTTTTTTCCGGCAAAGCTCCGAGCTGGAAAAAAGTAACAGCCATGTTTATGCAAATGAAGTGGGGGGGATTTAAATCCCCACTTCATTTGCAATTGCGATGTGTCTAATTTGCATCCCTTTTATGGAAAAGGGATGCAGTCTAGACACAGCCAGCTTGTTTAGCACAAGGGTGCATGTTACTCTCCACATTGAGGGGAAGGTGAACCAAGTAACAAAATCCTATTGCTTGGTGTTTGATCCAGGACAGAGTAGGGTAGCTCTGAGGTCCTAGGCTGGAGAGGTGGGGGTGATCTTGATAGTAGCATCTCCATTATTGGTTCTTGCAGAGAGCCAGCTTATAGTTGTGGGGGGTGTCCCTGCCTGTGTGAATGCTGCAGGAAGGGTAAGATTGAAGTCGATCCAAAGTTTCTATGGCAGCAGAGTGTGAGACGGAGCGCAGGCTGGTGGGTTAGAGGGTTGAGTGGAACCCCAATTTCTGTTAGCACCCGGGGGAACCCTTCACAAATGGGTTTGAGGAAAAGAAGCCTAAGAAAGGACAACAAAGGGCACTCAGGCACGGAACACAGGAACGGCCATATGGCACGAGAGCAAATGTCGACAATTAATCCTGCTTCTCAGGAAAGGCCTGGGACAAACTGGAACAAAGAGTCTAGAGGGCTGCGTCAAAGGAGAACGCATGTAAGCAGAGTTCAAGGAGGGGTGCATTTTTGTAGGCTCCCTCAGTATATTCTGCCTGTTCTGTGGAGATAGCTGGCATAACAGGCTTCACGAGAGCCCCCAGTGACCACTGACTCAGATAAGATCTGAAGGCACCTGAGTCACGTTTATTGTTGAACGAAGTTCAGTAATAGTCGCTGGTAGCCAGATGGCCTCCGAGACCCTATGCGTTTGTACTCGGGAAAATGGACCCGACTCAGTAAATAGCATAGATTCATTATTGTTCCCTAGGCAGGCCAAAGAGTTAAGTTGAGGTGCCCCAACATTTATAGATGGAGACGAACAATCTATGAGACACACCAGGCGTATCACCTTACGCATTAACGACACATTTCGTACCTCCTCTTTGACACTCCTCCAAAGCACTCCCTGTCCGTTGTTCTGCTTCCACATTTGTTGTTTCAAGATTTTTTATTCTGTACTAAGTTGGGATGGCCTTGTACTGTCCGGGTGGCCTATATTTACACGTTCCATGTGTTTTTATCGGAGCTAGCAGTTCTAGTGCCGAGAGACACTAATTTGCAAGGAAACATTGGATTTGCCACGGCCTGTGTGTTACTCATTGTATAACTCTTTCTTACTTTCATAGAATTATAGACTACTAGGACAGGAGGGGACCTTGAGAGGTCATCGAATCCAGTCCCCTGCCCCCATGGCAAGACCAATACTGTCTAGACCAGGGGTCTCCAAACTACAGCCCGCGGGCCGAATGCGGCCCGCCAGGCCCTCTCATCCGGCCCGTGGAGACCTTTTTGTCTACGGAAAAAAAATTACGTGAAGAACAATTTGAGAACAAACTTGTCCGATGATAATTTCAGGTCACTGTTGATGTTAGGGACAACAAATCTAAAGCCAGAAATGTCTGCTATTTTGGCATCCAGGAAACAATTTCACCATTCACACTAATACAGGTGTTCATGTGTAGTGTATCAATGTGTTATTAAATAATAACTGAATAAAATAATATTAAATAAATAATTAAAAACAACATCCATGTTTTGATTGTTTTTTATTTGGACCTCAAGTGTGTAGTCGGCCCCCGAACTGCTGTTTGATAGTTAATGCGGCCCTCGGGCAGAAAAGTTTGGAGACCCCTGGTCTAGACCAATGTTTCCTCAATTTTTTTTTCTAGCTGCAGAGTATCTACAGGGTCCTGAAAACTTGGCAGAGACTTTGGAATATCATGACTTAAAAAAAATGCAATAGGTACCAAATAGACCAGTTTGGAATTCTGTCTCTCTCGTTCGTGTGTGTGTGTGTGTGTGCTCCCTTGCTGCAGTTTAAGCCCATTGCTTCTTGTTCTATCCCCAGAAGCAAGATGAACAAGTTTTCTCCTTCCTCTTTACGACACCCTTTTAGATACCTGAAAACTGCTATCATGTCCCCCCTCAATCTTCTCTTTTCTAATCTAAACAAACCCAATTCCTTCAGTCTTCTCTCATACTTCATGTTCTCTAGACCTTTAATCATTCTCGTTGCTCTTCTCTGGACCCTCTCCAATTTCTCCACATCTTTCTTGAAATGCGGTGCCCAGAACTGGACACAATACTCCAATTGAGGCCTAACCGGCGCAGAATAGAGCAGAAGAATGACTTCTCGTGTCTTGCTCACAGCACACCTGTTAATGCAGCCCAGAATCATGTTTGCTTTCTTTGCAACAGCATCACACTGCTGACTCATCTTCAACTTGTGGTCCACTATAACCCCTAGATCCCTTTCTGCCATACTCCTTCCCAGCCAGTCGCTTCCCATTCTGTAAGTATGAAACGGATTGTTCCTTCCTAAGTGGAGCACGTTGCATTTGTCTTTATTATCTTCATCCTATTTTCCTCAGACCATTTCTACTTTGGATCAAGCACCAAGCCTGTGGCTCAGGTTTGTTCTTTCTCCTATAGTTGTGCCAACTTGTGGATTTGTTGAGGTGGGACTGGTGGGAGAAAGATACTTGCAAACTCCCCACTGAAATGTCATTACTGAATTTTCAAGAGAGCTAATGCGAGTTCAATGGAACATTTTTGTAATCTCATAAGGTCCCATGCCCTTTGTACATTTATACTGGAATCTCAGTCTTTGTGCTTGCGTATACACAGCACCCGAAACGCGACACAAGATACGCCATTTGCACTACGCAAATGGCGCCGCTTGTGTCGAGTCTACTTCAAAGTCGTTTATTTAATCACTTGGTGCTGTCTACATAGCGCCAACTTTTGAAAGGAAGCGCTATTTTGAACCATCCCTTGCTTGTCTTAGGATGCGGTTTACAGGGATGGCAAAATAGCACATCCGCTATATTTTGAAATAGCGAACGCATTCAAAAGATGCAGGGTAGCCACTGGTATCCCAAAATAACTTTGCAGTGTAGACGTACCATTAAGTCTTGTTCTGTTTATTGACAATTTTTTCCAGTGCCAAGATGCGGGGTATGAAATTAACTACTCCAGGTTTCTGTCCGTGTAACTGACAGCACAATACGGCTGCATGAACTACAGTCCCCGGGTTACGTACAAGATAGGGACTGTAGGTTTGTTCTTAAGTTGAATTTGTATGTAAGTCGGAACTGGTACATATTGTAGGGGAAACTCTAGCCAAACATTTCTCCCGAGCTCAGTTTTATTCTCCCACACCTCACTTCCCTCAGTCCTTTATTCTCAAGCTGAGGTGTCTGCTGAGAAAAGCCGCTCCACGTCTCCCTGGTCTGCTGGGGGGGAGCAGCTAGTGCGGGGTTGCCTCACCCCGTTTGTAAGTAGGGATCTGATGTAAGTCGGATCCATGTAACCCGGGGACTGCCTGTATATCAATCCCTCATGTTTTTGTGTTTCCAGGTGCATGGTATGGAGACAGTGGAGGGAAGAAATCAAAGCCTCATCATGGAATTCATCCTCTTAGGATTTGGGGATGCCATGGAACTGCAACCCCTTCTCTTCCTCCTCTTTCTACTGGTCTACATTGGCACTCTTGCTGGGAACACCCTCATCACTGTGTTAGTTGTGGCTGATCCACACCTACACACCCCCATGTACTTCTTTGTGGGAAACCTGGCCTGCTTGGAGACCTTATACAGCTCCACCATCCTGCCCCGGTTTCTGGCCAGTCTTCTGAGTGGAGACAGAACCATCTCCGTTAAGAACTGTCTGGTGCAAACCTATTTTTTTTCTATCATAGCAAGTACAGAAAATCTGCTGCTGGCGGCCATGTCTTACGACCGGTATCTAGCGATATGCAACCCTCTCCGATACACTGCCCTGATGAACGGCCGGGTGTGTTGCCAGCTAGTGGCAGGCTCCTGGCTGTACAGTTTTCTGGTGGTCGGCGTATTGAATAGTTTCTTGTTCCCGTTAACGTTCTGTGAGTCGAAAGAAATTGACCATTACTTCTGTGATTTTTCACCCATGATAAAGCTCTCCTGCTACGACCCCCAGCTTCTGAAACTGGCGACATTAATTATCTGTGCTATAGGAACGGTTGTGCCTTTGTTACTGACCTTGGCTTCCTATGTTTGTATCATCAGCACCATCCTCAGAATCCCGTCGTCCATCGGGCGGAAAAAGGCCTTTTCCACCTGCTCCTCCCACCTCATGGTGGTGACGATTATATACATCAGCCTCATCATTGTCTATGTGTTTCCATCAAGCAACACTTCCACGGTCCTCAACAAAGTATTCTCGCTCTTCTACACAGTCCTGAATCCCATGATCAACCCCATTATCTACAGCCTGAGGAACAAGGAGGTGAAAGAGTCCCTGAGAAAAGCAATCGTGAAAGTGGTCACCTTCAGAAACAGACCTAGAATCTGATAGGACAAATTTTACACTATAGCACAATACAGGCAAAGTGATATAGTTTATTACACAGAGCCTGTTTCATTCCTTGCCTGTTCATCCATCTTTGTAATCTGAAGGCAACATTAAGAGATCTATACTTATCATAAGACCATAAGAACAGTCATACCGGGTCAGACCAAGGCTATGTCTAGACTGCAAGCCTCTTTCGAAAGAGGCTCTTTCGAAAGCATCTTTCGAAAGAGCCTCTTTCAAAAGAGAGCGTCTAGACTGCATGGAGAAATTTCGAAAAAGCGGCTTGCTTTTTCGAAATAAAGCATCCAGTGAGTCTGGATGCTCTCTTTCGAAGAAGCCCTATTTACACTGAAGAACGCCTTCTTTCGAAACAGGAACTTTCGAAAGAAGGCATTCTTCCTCGTAAATTGAGGTTTACCGCCATCGAAAGAAAAGCCGCGTTCTTTCGAATTAATTTCGAAAGAACGCGGCTTGAGTCTGGATGCAGGGGAAGTTTTTTCGGAAAAAGGCTACTTTTCCCGAAAAAAACCCTGAGTCTGGACACAGCCCAAAGGTCCATCCAGCCCAGTATGCTGTCTGCCGACAGTGGCCAATGCCAGGTGCCCCAGAAGGAGTGAACCAAACAGTCAATGACCAAGCGATCTCTCTCCTGCCATCCACCTCCAGCCTCTGACAAACAGAGACTAGGGACACCATTCCTTACCCATCCTGTCTAATAACTGTTAACGTACCTAATCTCCATGAATTTATGCAATTTTTAAACTCTGTTATAGTTCTAGCCTTCACAACCTCCTCAGGCGAGGAGTTCCACAGGTTGACTGTGCACTGTGTGAAGAAGAACGTCCTTTTAATTTTTTAAAACCTGCTTCCCATTAATTGTATATGGTGTCCTCTAGTTCTTTTATTATGGGAACAAGTAAATAACTTTTCCTGATTCACTTTTTCCACACCACTCATGATTTTATATACCTTTATCATATCCCCCCTTGGTGTCCTCTTTTCTATGCTGAAAAGTCCTACTGTCTTTAATCTCTCCTCATATAGGGCCCATTCCAAGCACCTAATCATTTTAGTTGCCTTTTTCTGAACCTTTTCTAATGCCAATATATCTTTTTTTGAGATGAGGAGAACTCAGTATGCAGTATTCAAGATGTGGGCGTACCATGGTTTTATATAAGGGCAATAAAATGTTCTCTGTCTTATTCTTTTTTAATTATTCCTGACATCCTACTTGCTTTTTGACTACCACTTCACACTTTTGGATATTTTCAGAGAACTATCCATGATGACTTCAAGATCTCTTTCCGGATTAGTTGTAACTAAATTACCCCCGAGGACTGACCAAAATACTGTAACTTGATAGATAAAACCTAAACACAAATACAATGACTCTTTCGTACACTTGGGCTGCGTCTAGACTGGCAAGTTTTTCCGCAAAATCAGCCACTTTTCCGGAAAAACTTGCCAGCTGTCTACACTGGCCGCTTGAATTTCCGGAAAAGCACTGACGATCTAATGTAAAATCATCAGTGCTTTTCCGGAAAAACTATGCTGCTCCCATTCAGGCAAAAGTCTTTTTCCGAAAGTGGCGATCGGGGCTTTTTTGCGGAAAACCGTGTCTAGATTGGCCACGGACGCTTTTCCGGAAAAAGTGCTTTTGCGGAAAAGGATCCTGCCAATCTAGACGTGCTTTTCTGAAAATACTTTTAACGGAAAACTTTTCCGTTAAAAGCATTTTCGGAAAATCATGCCAGTGTAGACGTAGCCATATTGTATGTATAGTAGGGGTTATTTTTTCCAATATGCATTACTTTACATTGATCTGCATTAAATTCTATTTGCCATTTTGTTACCCAATCACTAAATTTGGTGAGATCTTTTTGAAGTTCATCGATACTGAGTGATCCTGGTGGGTGAAATGAAAACCGGTGATGGATTTTCAAAGCTCGGCAGAGCCGCCTACCCTCTTGCACTAAATACAAAGAAATAAATACGTTTAAATGCATAGGAAATGAGCAACTTTGCTAATTTCAGCCTCCATTGCCTCTCACTGTAACGTACCATACACTTACAAATATTTACCACAGTGCTTTGACCAAAAATGGATGCAAGAAACAAATTTCAGTTGAGGCCTAGTCTATACTACATGGGAAGAACTTAAAAAAATAACAAACGACTCTGCAGTACCAATAGGGATATCTACACAGCAACATTATTTCAAAATAACTAAGTCCATGCCTACAAAGCAGGTAGTTATTTCGAAATAACGTCAAAATACTGTCAAGCAGGAAGACTTCTTGCTCCAACTCCTGTAGCCCTCATTGTGCAAGGAGTAAGGGAAGTCAGAGGAAGAGCGATCTGTTTTGAAGTAAGTGCTGTGTAAACACTCCCGATTTCGAAATAAGCTACGCAATGGACGCAGCCTAATTTGCATGGCTTATTTCTAGTTAATCCCTGCTTTGTAGAGGCACCCTCAACTCAAAATAAGATATGCAGTTTGTGCTATGCAAATTGCGTATCTTATTTCGAAACTATTTCGAGAAAGCTGATTTAGAAATTTGGCGCATCTACACAGTGCTAAATTTCGAAACAACAAACTATTTTGAGCTATCCCTTAACCGTTGTGCAACAAGGTTTACTAGGATGGCGAAATAGAGTGCCCGTTATTTTGAAAAATATTTCAAATGTCAAGTCACTTTCGTACAAGCCATAAATATCGGCATTTTCTGTCCCTTTTTTTCACCAAGTCTATTTAACAAAATTAGCAAGTCTCAAGTCAAATCTCAAGTCACAAACAATGAACCCAAGTCGAGTCTCAAGTCGAGTCACCTAGGCGACTTAAGTCAGACTCGAGTTCAAGTCGTGGGAGTCGAATCAACAACTCTATATTTGCGATGTCACTGTTGTAGAGACCTGTGGAGTTACATCTTTTTTTCTTTGCAAATCTAATAAGTAATAATAAAATAAAGGAAGAGTTTAAAAGTTATGATCATGTTTTGTCTTTGACACATATTTTAGGTTGCGTCTAGACTACATCCTCCTTTCGACAGAGAGAAGTAAATTAGACACTTCGAAATTGCAAATGAAGCGGGATTTGAATTTCCTGTACTTCATTTGCATAATCGTATCATGGCGCTCTTTCAAAAAAATGCTATTTTGGAAGTGAAAACTCAGGTTTACTGGATCTTTTGAAAAAGTCTTCGATTTTTGAACTAACTGTGTCTAGACGGCAGTTTCACTTTCGAAATGGCGCTTTTTTGAAAGAGCACCATGATGCGATTATGCAACTGAAGCACGGGAAATTCAAATCCCAGATTCATTTGCAATTTTGAAGTGTCTAATTTACATTGCTCTGTCCTATCTATCTATCTATCTATCCCCATATACCCTCTCTATCTATCTATCTATCGATCTATCCCCATACACCCCCCCCTCTCTCTCTCTCTCTATCTATCCCCACACACCCCATCTATCTATCTATCTATCTATCTATCCATCCCCACACACCCCCTCTATCTATCTATCTATCTATCCATCCCCACACACCTCCTCTATCTATCTATCTATCTATCCCCACACACCTCCTCTATCTATCTATCCATCTATCTAATCTATCTATCTATCTATCTAATCTATCTATCTATCCATCCCCATACAATGGAAACTAAGTCACGTCATAGACTCACAGATGTTGAGGCCAGAAGGGACCATCATAAACCTCTAGTCTACTGGAAGGCAAAAATCGGTCCACAGGCCACATCTGGTTCACCGATATTAGCTCCAGGTGGGCCTCCACTTCTATCTTTATCGGTGCCACCACAATTACCGTGACCCTGGTTCCCCCGGCAACTACATTCTAAAGGGGCCTAACTCTAACTCTGATAAGGCCTGGCTGGTACCAGCCAGGCTGCGTGGTTTTCTCACTGTCTCCTGTCATTTCAGATTAATCAGCTTGGATCCCAAGGACTGTGCCAACGCAAGGAAGTAGTCCTCTCCCAGTCGACATATCACAATTTCAGCAAAACAAAAGTTAATATCAACATGTCCATTTGTTGACGTTGGCTTATTTAGCTTATTAGGAATAACTACCTGTATTAGCGATAACATGTTTAATTGGCAATGGGCGGAGATACTGTGTAATCTTGGTAGTTCACTGGCTTATGTGCTCATCTCATTTCCATTGCTAGACCTATCAAATCGCTTCCCCTCTGTCCATCTGCTGCCTATATGATCTAGTGTATGTTTTGGTTGAGTTAGTGCTCTCCAGGCTAACCCCTGGGTGGTACCCCACCAGCGCTGTGAGTTCAATAAATCCTAGGCGCGAACCAGAACACCACTTTCTGCAGCTCCCATTGGCTGGGAATAGCGATCCACAGCCAATGGGAGTTGCCAGCACCTGTAGCTGTGGAGGGACAAAGTAACTCTGCTCCCAGGAGCCCACCAGAGACTCGCCCTGGTGAACAGACCATGTTATTGTTCTAGTCTGATGTCCTTCACATCACAGACCAGAGACACTCACGTTGCCACTCCTGTAAGAGGCTCATAACCGCCGGCTGAGTTAGAGAAGTCCCTCAAATCACCATTGAAAGATTCCACGGTCTAGAGAATCCACTCCTGTTAAAACCAGCCAGTGACTATGTCCCAGGCTGCAGAGGAAAGTGAGGAAAAATGCAAAACCCCAAAGAAAACCAAGGTGTCCGCCAATCTGACCTGGGAGAAAATTCCTTCCAAACCCTAGCTATGGGGGCCAAGTAGACCTTGAGCACGTGGGCAAGACCTTCCAGCCAGACATCTGGGAAATACATTTTTGGAGTAGCTCAAAGTTTCTTCTCCAAGAAAGGGATTGGGATATTTTGACCTGACCTCCCTATAATGAAACCATCCTACCGTTTACCTCTATGACTTTAATTACCCTCTCATTCAATGTGTGTTCCAAGAGCTTGCAAACAACTGAGGTCAAACTAACCGTTTCCTGAATTATTTTCCTTCTTGTTTCCTAA